TCATTTTTTTGTTTAAATTTTGATTAGAATAATTTATAAATTTTGGAATCTTTTAAATTTCTGTATTACTTTGTCCCCGGATGTTATTAAGTAAAAAATATATTTACTAATCATAAATTAAAAAAGCTTAATACAAATTATCAAACACCAATATTTTAAAAAGAATTTTGAATTTTTATGTATGAGTATAAACGTGTCGATTTTTGTAAATACGGTTGTTCATGCATGATATCAGAAATTAACAGCGATATATAAAAGTAAATTTAAAACCAAAGTATCTAAAATTCAATAAAACATCAGATTACGGATAATATTTTCCTAAATTTTAAAGATTACTAAGTACTTACAAATTATATAAATAGGCGCTCATGTTATATTCCTCACTCATATTTACAGATATATCTACTGTAGAAAAACATTAGATAAACTTCCGTCTGTCATTCAAGCTGTCAACACCTTAAATAAACAGCTACCGCCCTGTTAAAAATGGATTTGTGCGATATTTTAAACTTAAAGTAATTTTTGTTTCAAATCAGATTAATTAAACTTTAAATCAGCTAATATTCCTCAAATAAAGTTTCGTAAAAGTATATTTTATTTTTGGAAGAAAGAGAATTACATTCTGAGGAAAGATGGCTAAAAATGGCGCTAAAATGAAAAGAATCAGCAATTTCAAAACAGAAAACTCATTTTAATCAATTTAAATTTGTTTTTGAAATACGACAATATATTTTGCTTGTTTGAATATTAAATTTAATCTATTAGCTTGGAAATAAAACTTTCAAAATATTTTTGTGTAATTTTGATAAATATATCTGTTAAAATGATATGTCAGTGTTATTTTCAGTTTCGCCTAATTTAGACGACAATTTATCTAATGCACCACCCTTTTATATATATATATATATATATATATATATATATAAGTGTGTGTGTGTGTGTGTTTAGGCAGCGATTGTTCTTTTAAGTCAAATGATCCTCGAATTAATATTCATACAACAAAAACAACCATCTGTAAAAGAAAATAATATATTTTAAGAACACGCGTCCTCAAAGGTCTATATAAAAACAAAATAAAATAAACACACTGATACGTCACACCTAAGCCTATGTCACAACACTCGCTTTGACTACGTCACTACAATCCCCCGTTCTACGAAACTCACCATTTGTCTCAACCTACCTATCTTGATGATGACTTAAAAAAGTTGAAAAGTTGAACCATATTTCTAACGAAATGAAGATAGGATAATTTTTGACGGAATATCCTCTTTATCTGCGAAGGATTATTCGTCATTTAGAAAAGTCGATCAACAAAATTAACAGACACAAAATGTTTGTTGTTTTAATTACACACACACACACACACACACACACACACATATATATATATATATATATATATATATATATATATATATATATATATATATATAAAAATATACAAATCTCTATATCAGAATAATAGTGGGTAATCAAAAGATCCAATGAAAAAGTGACTTCTTCAGACTAATAGTGATTTTATAAAACAGAATCTATCGATAAAACTATTATTGATTCATTCTAAGGACGAAGCAAAATTTTCTTATCATTCCAGTATGTATTGTTTAATATACTTGCGTACATATATACAGCGATCTCACATAAAGTACAAAATTGTTCCTGGCTAACTCATTCCAACAAGTTTAATACGTTCGTGCGCTTTGATACTTAGTGGTTTGGGCATCTATCGATAATAATATATAAAATTATATTTGTTTTTTGTATGTATAAAAATGAATAAAACAAAAACTCAAGAAGTGTTTTTTTTTTCTTCTCTATCATTACGGTTAATGCCAAGTCAGTGTTATTCGGTACGAACGTTTACAAAAAAAAATTGCTACGTCCGCATTATGTATGAATCCTATAGAGATTACGAAGCGCATTCAAAATTTCTTTAATTCATTTTGAGGTCTAAATCAAGAATATTAATTTTATAATGTAATTTTCCCTGCTGTATTCAAGCGAATTAATGTTAAGACAATTATTTTAAAGTGTGAAACATTACAGTGAAAATGCAAAACACAATACGTGAAAACAAGAGAAAAACCCCCCAAAAATAATCTTAAAAATCATACCCGGGAAAATGCACGGGAGGTAAGGCTGGGTGGCGACAAAAAAACAAAACAAAACAAAAAACAAATAAAACAAAACAAAAACAACCCTTAGCGTAAAAAAATAGAAGACATCGATATTCAGAGAACTTAAAACGATTACTTGCTTACTTGTTTTAATCCATCATTTTTACTTTGAATTATTGTCACGTTACGCAGTCAAGTGACGTAAACAATAGTCAGTGCATTATTTAAAAAGATTAACCGTAAATAATCAACACTACCTTTTTATAACCATCTGTCACACATTATTGTCAACTAAGACTGTTTTTACATTGTAGTGAAGTACTCGTTTTAATTAACGTGGTTAATCGAAATAAGTGTTGTGTAATTTGTTGCGATTAAAAAGTTAACTATTGACGACTTCTATCTTCCAATATTAACTTCAGAGATATGGTTTGGTGTAAAAAAAAGATTTAATTTGTTTTTCACAGTAATCTTCATTGGTTCATTCTTAATCATTAAAAAACACCGATATTTAGAGAACTTAAAACGATTACTTGGCTACTTATTGTGGTGCATCATTTTACTTATAATTAATGCTACATGACGCAAACAGTAGTGAAGTGTATCATTTAAACAAATTACCTGTAAATAACAGTGTCTTTTTATACCCATCTGTTACTTATATTATTATCAACTAAGACTGATTTTACATTTACATAAGTAGCGAAGTAATCATTTTAAGTAACGCGGCAAATTGAAATAAGTGTTGTGTAATTTGTTGTGATAAAACAACAGGTGTCGGATTATAAATTAAATAAATTTAAGATATTGTCAAGTATAAAATACAAAATAAATTTTTTTGAATTTAATGTATTTTTCATTTCAGGGATTTTATATTGAATATTTATTATCATTTTTTTTGTAAACGATATCCGGAAAAAGTCATGGGAAAAAAAAACTAGACACGTTAGGAAAAAGTTAGAGGAAGAAACAATGTAACATCGACATGTGGCGAGGAAAAAATGTCACATCGAAAATAAAATTTTCATTTAAAATAGGTCATATTTTTTTAATAAAATTAAATTTATTTCATATATCTTAATAAAGTCATATAATGAAGTGAGTAATATATGAATAAACTAGTTTGCAAAAATATTACATATGATACGATTACTTTATATTAAACAATTTATTTTATTAAAATAATCTATTACAATAAACTAAATATGGCTTTTATTTGAACAATTATTTATTTCATTAAAAATATTTGATGGTTTAATGGAAATATTTTCTCTGATTTTTTTACATGCAGGGGTCGACATTTCATTTCCGTTTATATATATATATATATATATATATATATTCGTATGCATCTATGAAATAATATATTATACGTGTACAACAATAATGATACGAGTACACACACACACACACACACATATATATATATATATAGTCGTATGCATCTATGAAATAATATATTACGTGTACAACAATAATGATACGAGTACACACACATATATATATATTAGGAAATGGATTAAATCCGGCAGAATTTTTATTTATTTGTCCAAAGGTTATTTTATAAATAGATACTCATATACGAACCTGTGCCTTTAGAGAAAACCGTCCTTAGATCCTATCGGAGGATGCATATTTTTCTAACAAGATTTCTCGAAATATTCAGGCCGGTAGATGTAAATAAATATGCTGTTTAATAAATAAATAAAAGCAGAACATCTATTCAAATATGTATATTAATTTATAAAATAACTTTTTAACAAATATTTTATATATATAAGCAAATATATGGATATAGATCCGACAATATGAAGAAAAATATACTGAAAAAACAAACAAAAATCCTAATATGCGATTATGCTGTTTTAATGTTTAATGTCAACGTCGGACGATTCGGTCTAATAGACCATCTTCAGGACATATTCATAAAACATAATTAACATAGATCATATACAATTCAACATAAAAAAAGACGATGGACATAAAAGCAATACCAATCCAAACAGATAACTGAAATCATTTTATAAGATCAGCGTTCCGTTTAAATCTTGCATGACACGCGCTCACATATATCTTTCTCTCTCTCTCACAAACACACGTACGTACATATATATATATATATATATATATATATATATATATATATATATACATTGTATTTGTGTTTAATGTGTGAAAAATATTTTGTTTTCTTTATATACATGTACTTGGGTAGCAAATATATATTTCGGTGTTTATAAATTTTATGATATGTGTGTATTCACATGCAAATATGTATCCAAAATAAATAAACACTTGTAATTAAGCACACACACACATTCTATTTTTCGTTCCCCAAGTCCTATTTAAATGCATAACCTCATCAGCTAGTTTCGGAAGATGTTTGATGTAATATATTCTGTAATAAGGAGTTTCGTTATTCAATAATAAAATAATTAACAACGAAATTAATTGATATATTCACTAGATTATCTGGCAATGTTTACTGAATTAATTTCAGCCTTTGTAGGTAATCAATGCTGTTATCTATTCGAACAACCGTTACAAAACAAATGGAAATCGTTATGCACTAAAAGTATTACATTTTGAAATTTTCTTATCTTGATTTAGATTAATGGTCTTTCTTAAGAATAAGTGTTGGATAATGAAATTTGAAGACTTTCAATTTCAAACTGTTTAATGTGTTTTTATTTTCAATTGATTGATTTGATTTTTTACAGTTTATCAACCCTTTCCAGGTTATTTAAAACCAGAAAATATTTTTAAATTATGAGATTTTTTTTTTAAAGATTATAGTCTCATTAATTAATGAGAATTGGCACTCAGCTCTTGGATTTCTATTTCTGAGCTGTTATCTATTACACATTACGCACATTCAAGCTTACAATATCTGTTATTTCCAAGTGGTCACCCATCAAGTAACTGACCAGGTTCGACGTTGTTTAACTTCGGTGATCGGATGAGAACCTGTGTTTCAACGTGACACAAGGAATCGGCAATTTAACATGAAACGGTTAAATCTCAACAACAAAGTAATTCGTATAAATTATAAATTTTCAGCACACGGTATATACACGGCCGGAAAATGTTGTTAATTCTATTTATTATAAATAGAGCATTTACTTAAATATTTGTATCTATAACAATAACGTATAAACAATATATATATATATATATATATATATATATATATATATTGCTATTTTTAGTGGCTACCCCTATTTGAATAGTCGCTATATTTATTTATTAAATAGTATAATTAATTTAGTCCACTGACCTAATATTCGAGAAATCAAAGGAAAATATATGCTCTCCGGCTAGATTTGAACTTGTGTCCCCCTTGGCAGGAAAAACCGTCGTTAGATCCGACGTGGTTTAGACCATCTCGGCTATGGAGTGCGTCGACGGCCAAGCAAAATTGAACCGTACTATATAAACGGAAATCTTTCATCGTCACCGCACACCGTAACCGTGTGAGTCTAAATCACGTCTAACAAAGGTTTAATCTGCCAAAGTGCACGCAGTTACGAATCCTGACGAAGAGCTCATATTTTTCTCTAATAAGATTTCTCGAATATTCAGGCCAGTAGACGAAATTAAATAAATATACTGTTTAATAAATAAACGGAGCCTCCAATCAAGTATGAGTATCCACTAAAATAACGTTTAAGTAATAACATCTGTTGGATTTATAGAGAAAAATCCATCTCTTCTTTAGAAATTGCTTCATATATATATATATATATATATATATATATATAAAGCAATTTCTCGTTTCCTAATGATTATGTTTAACATAAGCATCAATCTATATATCGCCATAAATATTTCATTTAGTGGGTACATGTGTTTAAGTAGATTTCACTGCTTTTTAAACAGTGAAATTAATGCCTGCTAGCCTAGAGACCGAAAGTCTTATTAACGAAAATGTGTCTCCGGTTAAGAGGTACATTTTGACTTCTTGGCCGGTAGATATTAATTTCAATGTTCAATAGAAAAACCGACGTGTTCCCATATACGTGTTCTCACTAAATCAAAAGGTTTATAGTCATAAGAAATAATTTCGGATTGAATAATAAATAAAACTGCCTAAAATTAATAACTATCTATCTATCTATCTATCTATCTATCTACTTACCTGCCTACCTGTCTGTCTGTCTGTCCGATTGCTTGTCTATCTATCTACCTGTATGTCTGTCTACATGTACACCTAATTTTAATGAATTAACTTTGAGAGAAAATACATAAAAGATAGAAAATACCAGAACTTCTACCGTTTTGTCTGTTTTTCCCTCAATCTCAGGCGAAGCTTTAGTAAAAGCGAAACATGTTAGATTGATGGATCTTTCCTATTTGTTTTTTTTTTATTTTATCATATATAAGAAAGAACACATCGTATTTTCGAGGTCGAAGTTAATAAAATTTCTATTATGTCAGATGCTTTTCGTACTTATTTATAATAGAATATGTCAAATTAAAAAAAAAATGAATATATATATAAAGAGAGCCATTTAAAAGGGCGAAGAATATTTTAGAGCATCTTTAAATTTCAAATTTGCAAACTTAACGATATTTTCATCCACTTCTGTTTATAATTTGCAAAATAAAATCTCTACATTTACCTTGATAAAGTTTCTCAAGAGAAGAAACGCATTCGCAAAGAAAAGATTTTTCTTCATTCTTTGATTTTATTGTCTGTACAAATGTATTTTATTTATATCTACATTTTTACGCACACACACACACACACACACACACACTATATATATATATATATATATATATATATATATATATATATATATATATACACGAGCACTTTAAAGGGAAAAGCGAAAAATTGTAAACAATTCAAAAGCTCTTCTATGAATTGAGCACTCTGAGTCCCTTGCGTAAAAATTCACCTTCCTCTCTGCCGGGAGCTGATAGCTCAGGGGGAAAATCTCCGACTGATGCCAGATCGGTTGGGTTTCGATCCTGGCTTGAGGAAATCTGATGTCTAGCAACACCGATGCGCTGTGATACAGCGAGACAGTCTCTCTGTGGATCTCTCTCTCTCTCACTCACACACACACACACACACACACACACACACACACACACACACCTATCTATATATATAGCTATAATCTTATAAGTGCGCATATATAATTTGAAAAATATGAATTTAAGCGCAGTTTACAGTTGAGTCGGCTAGATGTAATTGTAAGTTATAAGCCAACGAGTGAGTCAGTCGTTCACTTTTAAACCGACTGCTCGGTTGAACTCTCTTCCTACGGACGGGAGGAAACCGAAGGAGACTCCGCCTTTTGGCGGAGCCTCCTTCGGGGAGGTAAAACCGGCCCTGAACCCGTTTATACGGGTTCAATGGGAATATTTTTGGCCGAGCATACGTTAAAAAGGCCCCAATGTGCCACATGACACCCTCGTGGGGGGGGGTGACTGAATCTCGTCAGTCAACCCAGTACTTTCTGAGCGACTGTTCGGTTGTACTCTCTTCCTACGGACGGGAGGAACCCGACGGAGGCTCCATGAAGGGCAGAGTCTCCTTCGGGAGGTAAACCGGCCTGAACCCGTTTATACGGGTTCAATGGAGCTATATTTTTTTGGCCGAGCCCACGGGCTCGGAATGCCCACGTTAAAAAGGCCTTGTGCCACGTGTGTGTGTGTGTGGGGGGTGACTCAATATCGTAAGTTATAAGCCAACAGTTTCTCGCACGTCTCGCTTGCGGGACACTCTTCCGGCTGCATTACCTTTAACCAACTTTGATTATCAAAAATTTAAATACAATGTCAATCGCTTTCTGCTGTCCTCCTGGTTACTCTTCTTTTGTTTCCTCATTAATATTTCTGTTTTCTAATTCTTCCACACCCAGTAACACCTTGTGTCTTAGTGGCTTTACTGCCTTGCTTGGGTGAACTCACTTAAAAAAAAAGTATGCAAGAATTTCTTAATGATATAATGTTCTTAGCGAACATACCGTTGTAAATGAAATCCTTATATATTGTCACATGCACAAAGAAACAAATATATCCTGTCCCTCTCGAGTCATGATTGACGAGGCGGAAGATTTTCCACAGTAATTTACCGTTTCTTTCTGCAGTAGGCTGGTTACCAACCAAGGTTATAGGGCCTAGGGGGAAAAACAATTAATGTAAAGTATCTGTTATGAAGATTGAGATACCGTACTTTTGTTTTCGTTCGTGCCTGATTACGGTAGCTCCTTTACCCTGGGCCTACTTCCACAGTCCTCGAAAAAGAAGGATATGAGAAAAATGAAATAATAAGTCATTTTCAATGCAACATGCATAAACGAAGGAATGTTGCCTAAATATATATACATATATATATATATATACACTCACGTTAGAGGAAACTATATATATATATATATATATATATATATATATATATATTCAACTAAAAGTACATGAAGTAATATATATATATATATATATATATATATATATATATATATATATATATATATATATATATATATATATATATATATATATATATATATATATATATATATATATATATATATATATATATATATATATATATATATATATATATATATATATATATATATATATATATATATATATATATATATATATATATATATATATATATATATATATATATACATATATATATATATATATATACATATATATATACATATATATATATATATATATACATATATATATACCACATACATTGTCCAAGACATAAAGAACAAGTATATTAACAGGTTATTATGTTTATATGACACACACATGGGTATATATTCTCCGCCAGCCATAGTGGTATATAATGAAAATACTTTAATAATATATATATATATCTGTTACAGGATAATTATATCGTATATATATATATAAATATAAATATATGCAATTAGGAAATATATATACATATATAGCGCAGAAACAGCTAAATTTAAAGAAGAATATTGACAAAGATATTGGTTGATATATATATATATAGTTGAAATATATTCTGATAAATAGTATATTTAAAAACATATAAACATCTTCAGTCGTAATATACACATATATATATATACACATATATATATGTTTATATATGACTATACATATATATTATATACAACACATCATATATATATATATATTATCAAATATATACATATATATATACACGAAGCAATTAAATATATATATACACATATATATATATATATTATATATATATATATATATATATATATATACATATATATATATATATATATATATTATACATATATATATATATATATATATATATATATATATAATATGGCGATATATATATATATATATATATATATACATATATATATATATATATATATATATATATATATATATATATACATATATATATATATATATATATATATACATATATATATATATATATATATATATATATCATATATATATATATATTATATATATACTTTATATATATATATATATCATATATATGTATATATATATATATATATATATATATATATATATGAATAGAATAGATGTTACCAAAGTCGGTTTAAATTTTCTCATCCTTAGTATTGTTATTTAGTATACAAAACTTTCCAGGTTTGAAAGGGGACATCTTGTTTATATAAATGCCGTATGTTGTTCTTTTTTTTTTTCTTGTATCTTCAGGTATAGAAAATATGTGTTGTTTTCTCTTAGTAATAAAGGCAACGAAAAAAATGTTGTAGAAATTGGTTTGGAACGCGCCAAAGCAACGCTGAGTTTGATTTTAAATTTTTAAAGTGTTTGCGTTTATACCAAATATATTGAAACAAATTTTTTTTACTGGTAAAATTTTTTCTGTCAAAAGTGGCATGAACTATATTGTTCAATAATTACAGTAATGTCGCACTTATTATCCAAAAGTCGCACATGGATCAGTTATTTAAATTACGATAAACGTGCAATCAATTTACA